CACACACACACACACAGTGTCTCACTCACACACACACACACACACACAGGAGGAGTGGCAGACAGCAGAAGGGATGTGAACAGATCCCTGTCCAGCATTCAGATGTGCGTCCGTCCTTTTTAAGCTCATTTCGGTCCCGTGTTTCTCTCCCGGACTTCTGCTTCCTCACCTTATAAGGATCAAACCGGGAGCAGCGGGATCCGCTCCGGCTGATGCTCTTTCCCGAGGCTCTGGAATGTCAGCGTTTGATGGTTGGAGGCGTGATGATGATGATGATGATGGGCCGTTCAGGACTGAGAGATGAGGATCTGCTGCTTGTTGGAGTTTAGTTTTGTCTTTCTGTAGAGTTGGAGTTGAGTCTGTCTGGTTCTCATCCATGCCTGTCGTTGCTCTGCAGGTCACAGGGTGAGTCTGTGCGTTATGAATGAGATCTGGAGATCAGTGTTCGTGGTTTTCTGAGCATCATGTTCATAAAGATGATATTTCAGCTAGAAATCAGTATGTTTGATGACTTGACTGGCAACTGGCGGTTTCTGAAAGGATCGATCTAAAAGGGCATTCGTGGAGTTTAATGTACATATGTTGGCCAGTCATGTGATCCATGATTCATTCTGAAGTTTGAGGGTCTGTGGGATTTCAAAATGCTTGATTGCTCTTGTAAACCTACTGATTATCATTTGTTATATACTGTACGTATATTATTTTCTGACTCTCTTCAGCTCTTAAAGACATGTTCTTAAATCTGACTCATATAACAAATACTTACATGCATGCACAGCTTTAAGGCAGCTTTAATCGCCTTTTGGTAACTTCATGATGACTTAATGAAAACTAGGCCTATATTTAGTTTTAGTTATAAAAGCTTTGATACAAGTTAATACAATTTCAAAGACACAACGGCAATAATTGATGTAAAGGCTTTATTTGCAAGAGTTGCGTGAGTTTTGCTGCGACTTTAAGGTGTCGTTCTGATTCAAAATGAAGTTGCATGGCATGCATCTGTTTTATAATGCATGCACATGAGACCGTGATGCCCTGCACCCTTCACAGTATGTACTTCAAGTGCCTTTTGTAAGTAGGCCAAGTGATGCTCTCTTTCAGACGGGATTGGCCCAGTGTTTCCACTCTTGGTCTGTTCGGTGTGTGTTTGCATGATTTGTAGTTTGATGAGGCGTTTGATGCGATGCATTCAGATCAGCTGCGTGTCTCTGTTAATAGAGGATGTCGTCGTGTCTTATCAGAAACACCTAAAACATCCAGAGAAGCAGAGAAGCTTTTGGGATGCTGTGATTTTTGGATGACAACTTCAACAGACTGAACCTGCTTTATGTGTTCATTTATTTATTTACAACTTTATACGATTCTATTTATTCTAAATAAAAATATGTAATTATATATAGTTTATAATTATATATAAATATTTAATTTAATAATTATATAAAACAAGTTTTTTTAAATATATATTCGTATTTATCTCTTTATAAAAAATATAATTTATAAAATATATTTAATTATATAAAAATATTAACATATTTAATTAACAAAATATAAGCCACACATTTTTTTAAATACATATTTAAGTGTAATTTATTTTTTAGGGCTGTCAAAGTTCACATCAACACATCATAAATGTTTTAACAGTATATTTTTAGCACAATTAGAAATTATTGTTAATATTATTATTGTTGCATTTCTTTCTAAAGAAATCATGAGATTAATCAATTTTATATTCTGTAGACACAGCCCTATTTTTTAACGGCAAGATGTAAAAACATATATATTTTAAATGATTTTTAAATGCATCCAAATGGTATTTATCATTTGGATGCATTTAAAAATCATTAAAAAAATAAAATAGTTTATAATAAAGTAAATAGTTTCCAGATAATATTTACATTTTTTGACTGTGGTATAATCACAAAAATAAAAGCCAGATATTTAATTTAGTAAAATCTTTGTCATTTTACGTAGTGTATTATGTTTGTACACTTTTAACAGATACCTCATGAAAGGACTGTATGCAAGTCGGTGTTATTTTAGTATTAGTTTTATACAATTTCTAATATATTGAAGTAGCTTTTATTTTCTAATTTTTGTTTAAAGTTTTTCATCCAAAATTTTTTTGTTTTATTTTATTTCATTTTATTTTTTTCAATTAACAATGTTTTTCATTTTGTTTTTATTTATTTCCAGTTAGTATACTTCAATTTAAACTTATTTCAATTACGTTTTTAACGTATAAACATGGAAAGAGTTTATATACAATATATATCATTATAGTTTTTATTAATTTTTGAAGTAACGTATTTTAAATTTAAATTTAAATTTGTTTAATTTTTAGTCATTTTGTTTTGTACTTTTGTCATTTTTACTTTTTCATATTTACTTTTATTTATTTATTTTAATTTTTAGTTTTTTTTCTTCAGTTTTAGTTTTAGTTCAGGATTATTTTTTTTATTATTTATTTCCAGTTATTTCCCATAACTTTAGTGCTTTAACTTATTTTCAGTTACTTGCCAAGGTAACATTTCTAGTTTTTCTTCTGATATTTATATTGTATTTTATTTTAGCTTTATTTTAATTAACAAAAATGCTCTAGTTTGTTTTAGTTCAGTTTTAATTATTTATTTGTTTCCAGTTATGTTATAATAATAAAAAAGTGTAATAATTATTTTATAATTTCCAGTTAATTTATAATTTTATTAATTATTAATTTTATATGTTTTTTTTAAATTAATTTAATTTAAGTTTTTCATCTAATGTTCATTTTTTATATTATTTCTAGTGCTGTCAATCAATTAAAAAAAAATCAACTTTCAACATTAAATCAACATTAAAGTTTTTAAATATACTTTTATGTTGCAATAATTTCACATTCAATCTTCAAATTAATGTAGAAACAACATAAAGACAGTATATATTTGTTATATTTGTTTAATGACACACAAAAATAAAAGCCAGATATTTAATTTAGTAAAATCTTTGTCATTAAAAACTTTCTTTTTTCTTATTTTTCTCACACAGTATAAAAGGCATAGTATAAATATTTTGTTTGTTTGTATGTTTATTTATTTTTAACAATTTTTAATTTAGGCATTATATAAATTAAAATGATTGTGGAGGATTCACCAAGATAGTATAAAATATTATATTTATTTATAATGTAATATTTTATATTTTGTTCTATTTTGATGAATAGTAAATTTAAAAAATAACAATTATTGTGAATGATTCATCAAAATAAAAAAAAAATAAAACATTATATTAATAAAAATAAAAATGTACTATAGATTTAATATTTGTTATATTTGTTTAATGACATCTTTTTTTATGACTGAAGGCGAGTATCACTGATACCAGTACTGCTGATGTCTCTATGAAAATTGTTTTCTTTTTCATAATATTTAACCACTGACTAGCCATTCAACATTACAGTATAACTGAGAGCTGTCAATTTTAACATTCATTAGACTTTAAAAAATAACAACTTCTAATTTAAGTGAATTTAAAACAATCTTCACATAAACCCATTATAATATATGTCATATTCAGCTACATCTGCCCTTCAGCAAGCAGGAAATATACAGAAATTGATAAAGTTATCAAACACTAAATTCTAAAATAAATACAGATGAATCCTTAAAGCTACAGAAATTATTGATTTGTTCTTTTTGTCTTTTGTTCTTTGATGAACAGCATCACAGCAGCTGGTTATGATGCTTTAAGAGCTGCTGCTGCTGAACGTTATGAAGTTTCTCATAACTCTTTACCTTTTCTGACTCTCTTCAGCTCTTAAAGACACTAGGGAGCATCCTGACTGAAAGATCCTGACTAGTTGCGTTGCATTGCATTGTGGGATTGCATTCATTATGAAGGAAGCATTAGGTTTGTGAACAGAGCTGTTGCTCTCTGCTTAAATCTCTCTCTCTTTCACTCTCTTTCATCTGTTCTTTATGCATTATATATTTGCCCGGCTGTTTTTAACCTGCTTTAACACCTCCGCTCTCTTCCTTCCTCTTTCTTGCTCTTTTATTTTGGTGTATGCTTTTGAAAAGCATCTCGGAAAGAATCTGCTTTAAATTACGTTTACTCACCCACATTTTATATACATGTATATACACTATATGTACACACATATATAGTTTTATTTATTAATATTTAATGTTAGATTTTCTAAGTGTTGTGAATAATTCATCAAAATTGAACAAAATATAAAATATTTTTTTTATAATATAATATTTTAGCTTTTGTTCTGTTTTGATTAATTATAAATAAAAAATTAATCAAAACAGAAAAAATAAAAATAAAAATAAAATATTGCATTATAAATACTAAAATAATGCATTTTTATAATGTAATATTTTAGATGTATTCTATTGTAATTTTATTGAATTGTTAATAAAAATAAATAAAAATAAAATTATTGTGAACGATTAATCAAAATAAAATATTATATTATAAATAATAAAAATGCATTTTTATTATATAATGTTTTAGATTTTGCTCTATTTTGATTAATCCAAAAAAATAAAAATGATTGTAAATGAATTATTAAAATTATTATAAATATTAAATAATTTTTTAATGACATATTTTATATTTTAATGAATCGATCATATTTATGTATTTATTGCAATTAAAAGCAAGAACATAAAATTAATAAATTCATAATGTCCTCAAAATCAAGGACTTATTTAAAGCCTCCACTTAAAAAAAATCGAATAAAACTAAATTAACATACAGGAACCACATCAAACTAATAAATACAGTATAATCATAACAAAAACAACTATCAAAACCCAGAGATGGGTAAATAACATGTAAATGTAAAGGTGTAATATGTATGCATGTGTGAACTTGTTTTTTATAAAGTAAATAGTCTATTTTGATTTTAATGTCGACTTTTTGGATCTATTCCTCACACAAATCGATCATATGGCATCTTGAGACTCATACTAGGTTTGTAGCTTGTTTTCCTTCATTGTGAAGATGCTATAAAAATACTTTTTTGTGAAACAGAAGAACGTGACGTGGGTTTGGAACGAGCTGAGCGAGTAAAGGATGACAGCATATTGATTTCTAGATGATCTTTTGCAGACGCTTGTCGTGCAGTTGTGTGTTTGGATGTGCCTCTGAAATAGAAATAGCAGGGTTTTGTTCACAGGAACAGGACAAACGAATGCTTCAAATGACTTCAACAAACCTATAAAACCTCACTGAACTTGACCTTTACATGCCGTAAGCCGCTGATCGTAGTATTGTTACGTCTCTCAGACTCGAGTTCATGCAACTTTGAGTTTGAATTCGAGAGACAGTGCTGTTTTTTATTTATATACTCTTAGAGTATTTTTTATATATGTTTTGAATGACCATTTATATTTAGATTCGCTTTCAATTTCAACAAGTTTAGGTTTTAGTAATTTTGTTTTGTGTGTTTTTGTCTTTTTTTTTTATATATATATATTTCAATTTAGCTTAAATTAATTTTAATAAAAATTTTAGTTTTAGCAATTTTTGTACTTCGACTTAATCTTAAATGTAAATTAGAGATGTTGCCTTAAATGTTTAAGTTGAAGTACTAAAATTACTAAATTGAACAAAAATAAACTTCACAAATTTAATTTACTTTATTTTTATTTCAGTTTTAGTTTGAATAATTTTAGTACTTAAACTTAAATTAGAAATGTTACCTTGGAAATTTAAATGTGGAAGTTTAGTTGTAATTTTTTTAATCTAAAATTATTTATTTTATTTTGCTATTACTTATATACTGTTAAAGTATTTTATGTTTTGAGTTAATATTAATTGTTCTATTTTTAGTTTTCGATTTAATTTTAGTTTAAGTTTTAATGATTTTTTTTGTGCTTTTGTCATTAGTTTTTGTTTGTCAAATATTTCTATTTAGCTTTAATTTATTTGATTTCATTTTTAGTTTTAATCATTTTAGTGCTTTAACTTAAACTTATTTCAGTTTTCAAGTTTTCAGTTTCAGTTTTTTTTTATTTTACTGGTATTCCTATACTGTTATAGTATTTTTGTTTTTAATTACCATTTATTTTTATATTTTCAGTCTTCATTTAAATTTTAGTTTGTTTTAGTAATTTAGTTTTGTGCTTTTGTCATTTTTCTTTTTTTCCAATTTCTTTTTAAATTAACATTTATGTTTATATTTTCAGTTCTTATTTTAATTTGTTTATATTTTCAGTTTTCATTTTAATTTTAGTTTAAGTTTTAATAATTTTGTTTTGTGGTTTTGCCATTTTTTTTTTCAATATTTCTATTTAGCCTTAATTTATTTGTATTTCAGTTAAAGTTTTAATCATTTTAGTACTTAAACTTATTTCAGTTTATGTTCAGGCAACATTTCTAACTTTAGGTTTATCTTGTAATATTTTTATTTTTATTTATTTTGCTATTATTTATATACTGGTATAGTATTGTTGTGTGAATTACCGTTTGTTTTTATATTTTCATTTTTCATTTTAATTTTAGTCTTTAAGTCTTGAGTTTTTATGTAATTTTTTGTGCTTTTGTGATTTTTTACATTTATTTATTTTTTTTAATTTCAGTTTAGCTTTAATTTCTTTTTCTTTTTCTTTTAGTATTTTAGTACCAAGGCAACTTTTCTCTTCTATTTTATTTTATTTTATTTTATTTTATTTTATTTTATATATATATATATTTTTTTATTTTTTTTTTTGTATTTTTTTGTATTTATTTATTTTTTAAACTGCTGGACCGTAGCCGGCGGATGGTGGAGCGCGGCCTGCTCCCGCAGCCTCCCTCGGGACAGTACGCTGACCTGTGTGCGCTGCCGGATCTAAACGAGCGGACCTTGCTGGAGAACCTGCGCGGACGCTTCCGTCAGGAGAAGATCTACACGTACGTGGGCGGGATCCTGATCGTCGTCAATCCCTTCAAGTTCCTGCCCATCTATAATCCCAAATACGTCAAGATGTACGATAACCACCGGCTGGGGAAGCTGGAGCCGCAGTAAGGACGGGCTTCAGTGCTGATAAACTGTGTTTCGGCGCCTCGTTTTGTTGCTGTGATCCGTGAATGCTGATGATCAGTTTATTAAAGTAGCTCACCAAGCTGCTGAAATATTGAATTTTGAACAACTTTTTGTTTGGAATTTAATAATAGGGCTGGACGATATAGCCAACATTTCTGTCTGAACTTTTTTTTAAAAAATTTTGCCAAATGCATAAAAAAAATTCAATACAAATAGATTTTTATATTTAATTGGTATGTAGAAATAAAAATGTAATTCTTCCTTGTGTTATAATATTTAAATATCGTATATAATTAGAAGTATATGATATTTAAATATATGTGTTATATTTCATATTTATTTAATATGATATTTTATTAAATATTAAATACAATTATATAAAGATAATTAAAAATGTATAATTAAATATTACATGTGCTATATGTGTGTGTGTGTGTAATTGTATTATGATAATATATTTAAATATTTAAATATAATTTTAAAAAATGTATATTACTTGTGCATGTAAATATATGTAAATATTTATTTAGTTACTTAATAGTATATTTTTTAATTACTATATAATATATATAAAATCAAATATTACATGTGCATATAAATACTGTATTTAAATATATTCGTATTTTATATTTATATATTAATATGTAATTTATATAATTTAATTAATATAGAAATGTGTGGTTGTGTGTGTGTATATTATAATTGTATTATAATAATATAGTTAAATATTTAAATATATATTTAGAAAATGTAATATTGCATGTGCATGTAAATATAAGACATAAATATATATTTATTTATTTAATTGTGTGTGTGTGTATATATATATATATATATATATATATATATATATTCATAATCACTCAAATAAAATACAATGCAGTAAAAATCTATTTTAAAATATCAAATAAGTCATGTTTTCCACACTGTTTTCACTAAATGAAGGCCTAGAATATTTATTTTAACTTATGGTCCAATATAACTGTACATACTGAAAACCATTTTTTATTTATTTTGAAAAATTGTTTAAAAAATATTTTTTAAAATGCATAAAAACATTTGTGAAATTCACAGTGTTTCCTTATTTTTGCCAGCAAAATCTTCATTACCAGATTGTGAATCTTCCCTGTTTTCTGTGCGTGCCTGAACGGATCTGCTTGTGCGAGCGTCTCGTTTTGCTTGATTTGCTCAGAAACTGTTTTCTTGTCTTACCCTGAAATCAGACTCGTCCCGGTGGTCCATCAAGCGTGCTGTTTTGTTTTTCTTCTCTTCTCGCGTGTCGTTTCTTCTCTCTCTTCATTCTGAGGGTGAGAGTGAGACGCTCAATTCAGGCCGCAGATCTAAACGCACAGCGGATGAACGTCACAGGACTGAAGTTTGGGCCTGAAAGTGTCTGACGAGCTTCTCTTTTGGATATGAAGCGATGGGTTGTTTGGACAGACTGCTGTATTTCGTGCACATGTTTGTATGAAGTGCTTGAGTGTTTGTTGGCTGAGGCTCAGATCCTGCTATTTGGACGACATAAATAAGAGTGAAAACTGCAGAAAATATGCTGTTCTACGTCTCTGTTTATGCAGCATGTTGCTTTAAACACGGAAATAGAAACATTGGCTCGTCGTACAGTTATGACAAGTATTTCAGCACACAGATGAGAACGCTTTTGTTTGTGTTTCTGTGTGTGTGTGTGTGTGTGTCTGTGTCTGAGTGTGTGTGTGTGTGAGAGAGAGAGAGAGAGAACATTTGGAAGATAACTTTTCTGAGCATGTTAGTTAAAGTTAGTTAAACTGTTTGGATTTGGTTGACATTTGAAGGAAACTCTAGTGGAAAGGACTGAAAGGATTTACAGCAGGACTGCATGCAAATGACTTAGCGTCTGCATCGGCATTTGTGTATTAAAACAAGCAAATAAATAAAATAAATAAATAATACAAAATTTGATTAAAATAAATAATGAAAATTTGATTTAAATAAATAGATTAAAATAAACAATATATATTTTTTAAATTTGATTTAAATAAATAAATAAACAGATAAATAAATAAAAATAAGTAAACAATAAAATTAGATAAAACAAATGAATAAAAATGAGATATTAATAAATACATAAATAATACAATATTAAAATTGATTAAAATAATTAAAATTGATTCAAATAAATAAATTAATTAATTAAAATATGTAAGCTATAAAATAATTAAATAAATCAGACAAATAAGTAATACAAAATAATTAGATTAAAATAAATAATAAAAATGAGATGAATAATTGAATTAAAATAAGTAAACAATAAAATTAGATTAAAATAAATAAATATGAGATTAAACTGAATGATTGAGTGAATAAATTAATAAATAAATAGTACAGTACTACAATGAGTAAAAAACTTAATAGAAACTAAATATTTTCCAAATAATGTTTTCAATTGGCATAGTACATAGTATATCAAATTAAATTAGTATAAATTTATTCTTTATGCATGAAAATAGTTGCCTTTTACATTTTAGCATAGGAGTTCTTGGCACGAGAATCGTCATATATGTGGGTCTTTGACATCTGTTAGATTGAAAACTCTTGACCTGTATGAAGAAATACCTGCCGTACAAAAAAGGAGCACAAACACACACGTTTATCTAAATGAGGACGTATCATAAACGCTTTAGTTTTGAAATAAAGCTCATTATAATGAGACCAACTCAAGCCAATCAAAAGAAAACATCTATCTTTATATCTTTGAGTTTGTCCCCTAAGAGCCGATGACACCATCATGCGTCATGTGACAGAGATTTAATTCAAGCGATCATTAGTTTCCATTAGTGCTTTAATACGGGCCGCAGGGACATTAATGATCGACCGGCTTTTACAGGAATCCGACCACAGCTGTTTGGGATTCGTCGTCTGATGCGCATTTGAACCGTTCGTTAGAATGATTCTTTAAAAGAATCGTTCGTAGGAGTCATTCTGAATCGGACTGCACTGCTTGCGCTGTTTGTTTATTGTATTATTTGGTGTTTCTTTCTCGTCACGTTCGTTTTGTGCTGCAGACTTGTGTAAAATATGATCAGTTTTGCCTTGAGAATGATTCAGTCCGTCTGTGTCTGTCTGTCGTCATGCAGTGTGCGTGAATGTTATCGACTCAGCAGGTTTGATCACACATGTGGCTGATGCAAACCGCAAGACTGAAGACAGACGGACGCTGAATATTTTACAATTCTTGCACAATGCAAGCAGTTAAAGCTCCAGTAAAGGAGGTGGTAGCTGTGAAACATCTGACTTCAGTGGTCTGCGTGTGTTTTCATTTGTAAATGTTGTGCTAAACAACATGTATTTTTGGATCAGGTCAGATAACCGATTGATTTTGAGGGAATGCATGTGGTAGATGTGTGAAATCAGGCGGTTGAACTGTTCCTGGTAGCTGAAAGCTTCATTACATGAGCTGAAGTGTTTAGTAAACGAACACGCACGGGTCGGGGAATGTGCAGACGTTTATAAATGATGCCGTTCTAGTTGTGGAGAATTCAGCAGATTCCTCATCAGCCTTTAAAGACGAGTTCTTTATGTTTATACGGTTAAAGCCTCATGCAGAATGCCATTTTTCCATTGGAAGTACCATGATTTTTAATTTATTTTTTGCATGTTATTGATATGTAACGTGGAAATATATATATATTTTTTTGGTGGTTTATTTTTTAATACCTTGGAGTGCGATGTAAATACTTTTGTGTATGAGTGTGATAGTCATTCTCTACCATTACTTTTTGTCTGCAAATTTTAGAGAATATTTGAGAGGGATTTTTATTTTTTGCTTCCTTATCATTATTATTATTAATATCAAGCATTTGAGTACTGCTTAACTAGTTTAGATTTTTTGTTTCAAATTGTATATTTTATAGTATTTTATTATACTAATATTATTAAAATATAATTATATTATGCTATGATAAATTATAGTAGAATGTGAATAATATAATATTTTAATATTTCAATTTACATTTACATTTAATCATTTAGCAGACGCTTTTATCCAAAGCGACTTACAAATGAGTTGAACAATAGAAGCAATCAGATCAACGAGAGAGCAACAGTATACATAGCTAGTTTTTTTTTAATAGAATGGAATAGAATGGAATAGAATAGAATAGAATAGGTAAGTGCTAGTATTAGTTCGTCAGGTGCTGGCGAAAAAAAATTGTCTTTAGACGTTTTTTGAAAATGGCTGTTCGAATTGAGATCAGGAGGTCATTCCTCCAGCCGGGAAAAGTCCAGGAAAAGATCCGTGAGAGTGATTTTGTGCCTCTTTGGGATGGCACCACAAGACGCCGTTCACTTGCAGAACGCAAGCTTCTTGAGGGCGCATAGGTCTGAACCAGCGGTGTCAAAAGCAGCAGACAGATCCAGCAATATGAGTACTGAGGATTTGGAAGCTGCTCTTGCCAGTCTCAGGGCTTCAGTAACCGAGAGCAGGGCAGTCTCAGTTGAGTGGCCACTTTTTAAGCCAGATTGGTTGTTGAATCTAATATAATTATCTAATAATTAATATAATTTATTTATATTTAAATTTTCAAGAATATTTTATTATTATAGTTTTTATTAATATTAGTGTAATATTGAAATATAATAATATTATATTTATATTGTGATGTTTTGTTAGAATATTTGAATAATATAATATTTTAATATTTTGTTTTTTCAAATTTACCTTGTATGGTTTATATTTTTATATTTTTTGTTTTATTTGAATGTTTTTATTGCTTTTTAAATATATAAAACATTAAAATAAAAACAAAAATATAATTGGTTTTTATAATTTTTTGTTGTTGTTATAATTTCTCATTATTATAATAATGTTTTATTAGTATTAGTATATTATTGAAACGTTATATTTGCATTGTAATATCTTTTATGTTAATATTTTAATAAATAATATAATAAATTAATAATAATAAAGTAATACATTTTTATTTTAATATTTTCATTGTGT